CACAGCCCCTCGTTTGTTGTCCTCTTCTCTCTCTCTGCCTACGGTTTTACCGGGCAGTTCTGTTTGTGACGATATATATATATATATATATATCGTCACAAACAGATATGTATATATATATATATATATAAAGAGAGAGAGAGAGAGAGAGAGAGAGAGAGAGAGAGATTGTCACACTGTAAATCAGAGTATAGATAGATAGATAGATAGATAGATAAGATAGATAGATAGATAGATAGATAGATAAATAGATAGATAGATAGATATCTTCAAACAGAGCTGCCCGGTGAACTGCAGGCAGAGAGGGGGAGAGAATAAAAAACGAGGGGCTGTGACAGACTGGCTGTTTTGTCAATTGAAAGTTTCATATATACATACATAAATTATTTCAAACGACCTTTTATTATTGAACAGGCAATCCAGGGACATGTCTTTTTTTTTTTTTTTTTTTTTTTTTTTTTTTGGACCATTTCTCAATTGATGCGTGTCATCCTTGCGCAAGCCTTAGGCCATTTGCTAATCGTCTCTGTATCGTTCTCTGCATCGTTCCAATTTTCACAGATGTCCGCGAGGACGTCATTCCAATTTTCACAGATGTCCCCGGCGAAAGACAGCGACTTTCAGTTTAGTAGATGGTGTTTGTGAGCGCAGATTCACACTTGCACTTCAATTTTTTTTTATTTTTTTTTAAATTGCACTTCAAATTTGTGAATGTATCTGACAAACAATTACGGCCCGACACAGATCCATCCATCGGACTGCAATCACGTCCAGAGCTTGCCCAAAAACAGACCTGTGACAGCCTGACAGGCTTTTCCTGCACGCATCTGTCAGTGACCTACCTACAGTCTTCCCCCGAATACAACGTTCCGTCATTATTATAGCTGTATTTGGGGCACCTTTGAGTCTAGATACAGTGATAATGACCGTACGTTGTATTCGGGGGAAGACTGTAGTGCGATGGACGGAAAGTGCGTGCATGCATCTGTCAGTGATCCTAACTACGTTCATCGCACTACAGTCTTCCGCCGAATACAACGTACGGTCATTATAGCAGAGATTAGTCAATGGAATTGAAAGGAAGGCATACCTACGTGCACTAGGACGTAGTACCTGGACGTATCTGACCGAAACTGCGGCTTTTCCTACATGCACCTGACCGTAATTACGTCTAAAGATGAGACAAAAAATCCCAGTGTGAACTCCCCACCAATAGACTGGAGCTCCTATCATCACTCCTATCTGTTGTCGAGGGCGGTTTTTCCGTTAAAAAAAAAAAAAAAAAAAAAAAAAAATCCGAGTGTGAATTCACTGAATTGAATTAAATGGAAAGGAAAAATAAAAATAAAATAAATAAAAATTAAATGGAAAGGAAGGCATACTGACTCGCCCTAGGACTTTCCTGGACGTATCTGAGCCAAAACTCCGGCTTCTCCTGCATGCATCTGACCACCTTCTCCTGCATGCATCTGACCGCAATTACGTCCAAAGACGAGTCAAAAAATTCCAGGCTGAATTGAATTTAATTTAATTTAATTTAATTTAATTTAGTTTAATTTAATTTCGGAATGCTCTGCAATCTTTCACCGTATGGATTTCCGGTTTCGTAGACACCCTACCTGGGGTCGACAAAGAATCAAGCATAAGTACTTCCCTGAGAATCAAACTTGGCTTGGTTTTCACGGTAAGAAATACCGAGACAATTGGGTTTTGTATGACTCTTACATGTCCAAGGCGAAGTGGCAGCGGCGCCAGTTCAATCTCATTCGATTGAGTGTTCTCGATAAACTAGTAGGTTTATATAGGACCATGCCCGTCTCAGCACATTGAAACTGTGGACCAAATTTCTTCAGCGTGCTTCTTTTGAACTTAGTGCGATATTTAAGCGCTAAGGTCAATGCACAAGATTCCTTCATTAAGTGAACTATCGACCATAATGATTAATTTAATTTAATTTAATTTAATTTAATTTAATTTAATTTAATTTAATATTTGAAAGAACGCACACGGACTCGCACTTGGACTTTCCTGCTATCTTTATCTGACTCGCACTTAGACTTTCCTGGATGTACCTGACCGAAACTGCCGCTTCTCCTGCATGCATCTGACCGTAATTACGTCCAGGGGTGAGTGACCGGAATTGAAAGCGAGGCATACTGCGCACTCGCACTAGGACTTTTTTTTCCCCATGAAATTTCAGATTTCATGCCAGTACGGTAGGCCTTTCCTGGATGTATCTGA